CGCAAGTTTTAATTAAGACACATAAGATGAATAATCTTAACAAGTTTTAGTGTGTGTAAATTTATTATAGTTGACAAATACGCACTTTTTAAATACTTTTTAAATGGTGTTGTGAAGACATATGAGGGCAAGCAATGCAATAGATTAACGTAATTAGGACACCTGATGATGGCACTATGTTGCCGAAACATGTCGTGAAGTAACAGGTGAAACTGAGTGCACTACAAGACGGCCACTGTATACACTAGTAATTAATTATTACTGTGAATCTAAAACATCTTTGAGGGTGTGTAATCATCAGAAAGTGACGAAGACCATTAAGTCATCATTACAAAATTAGCAGATTATAATTTCAAAATAAGATACAAAAATCGCAATATTGTGGATCTCGCTGGACACACATGAACTTTCTTTTGTAAGGTTGCTAACTGAAAGATAAGCTGGACGAACAGTTGTCTCAGCAATAATTCGTATTCAAGGCATATCTACAGTTGGTTCCAATTTCGACTCTTGGTTGATTGTCATTACATTAATACAAATGCATTACTGTTCTGTAAGTTAGTGCCATCGGACATCATCGCGTAAGTCTAGTACTAAAGGGGTTCTAGCTGGATCACAGACGCTGCCACCTATATTGAAGATAATAACAGAGAAAACAATGAACTAATTTTGTCGTAATGACAATCAATCATATGAAAATGGAAATACGTATATTCAGCTCCGCAGTGAATAGTATTAACTGCAACTCAGACAATGGGAACTGTTCAACACATACAGAATGTCCCAGGAGGAAAGGTCAATATCCTGGGATGTCATAGGATCGGTCTTTCTAAGCAAAGGAGAAAAAATGCATATGTACAAGTGTCCTATTTACAACGACTTCCGAGATAGAGTTTCTTCACTGTACAGTTCCAAAATTGTTGATAAGAAAGAGATATTATGTACTGTTTCTAATACCGATATTCACTGTTCAAGTGACAAAGTTGTTATAGTTTACCTTACTTACATACTTATGGAGCTGAGCGCTTCTTGAGGAGCCGCCAATTATGCAGCTACTCAAGAATATCCCAGCATTTTATGGAACCCGAAGGTTCATTACTGTGTTCACAAGAGCCTTCATTGGTCCCTATACTGAGCCAGATCAATCCAATCCATACATCCCATCCTATCTCTCTAAGATCCATTTTAATATTTTCCACCCATCTACGCCTTGGTCTTCCCAGGGGTCTCTTTCCTTCTGGCTTTCCCACCAGTATCCTATATGCATTCCTTTACTCCCCCATTCGTGCTACATGCCCTGCACACCTCATCCTCCTTGGCTTGATCATTCTTATTATACTTGGAGAAGAATACGAGTTATGAAACTCCTCATTACAGTTTTTTTCCTTGGCACTACAACCCCAATGGGCCTAGGCCTACCTCCATGAACTTCTCCGTTCACTTCGGGTTTTTCTAAATCTTACACATTCGGTATGACTTCTTGGGCGGGTGATCAGCTCGTCGCAAGGCCTCTACATGTACACACACACAAACTAAACATCCGTGCCCTGAGTGGGATTCGAACCCACGATCCCGGTTTCCAAGCGAGCGAAGACAGTACATGCCTTAGACCGCTCGGCTACCGTGACCGGCCATTACAGTTTACCTAGTATAATATATTTTCGAGAATTTCACCGTCAACATCAATGCACTTTGCTACTCGTGAGGACATGGAGTATTGCTCGTCTGTACAGTGAAATAGCTCTATTTCGGAAACCGTTCGGATTAGGACACATGTACATACACACTTTCATGCTTAGAATGACCGATACTATGACTTCCGAGACTATTGACCTTTCCTCCAGGGACACCTGTATACAAGGTGTTTATGTGCGAGTAAGCTATCTGATGACGTGGTACTATGCTCTTCACGTCACTAACCGGCTGTTTTCCATTCAGCAGGAAACTGAAGCGCCTAAACCTCGGAGGCAACGAACTGCAGTCCGTTCCAACATCAGCATTATCTTCATTTGACATGCTCAAGAAGTTGGAGATACAAGAGAATTTGATTTCTGAGATTTCAGAAGGCGATTTCCAAGGTACGTGCCAAAGGGAGCACGAACTGTGATTGCTATGCATATGCCTCTGTTTCGTCAGAGTATGAATCGTACTTTGAAACTACGACACCATGTACGCCTATTCAGGATCCCGTATTTATATCTCTGAAGAAGGAAGTTGACAGCAAACCCTATCACTTCGTAATAATCGTTACAGGCGAAACTCTATGTGTCTACTTCCCTTTAAATGTCTTCATATGCATGGAGTCGCTATCGATCAATAATTATACAACTGAACTACATAAATTTCTCTGCATAATTTCTACTAGAATAGTAAGCTGTTAAATGAAACGTCGCCACTAATACCTGCAAAGGTTCGCATTGTCGCCATTATCGTAATTATTAACACAAGAGAAAATCTCTGTACGGTGTGTGTGTGTAGGTATGACCTGTCCTCCTTATGCCAAATGTCACCGTCATGGCTGATATGACTATCGAACGGAAATCAGACACAAATTATAAGTCAAAGGCATGTTTCTTTATATCCTGAAAAGATAAGAACAGTAAAACAAACGCTACGTATGAAGGAACATGTTTGCATCATATATAACTTAACAATTTCATATTAAGTGGCGCTAGTGTCGCTCCATCCACCAAAGGTGCCTCCACCTTGCCGCGGTGGTGGGGCTTGCGTGACACTGTGACCTGGAGAGCTATGCCGGCGGTAGTTTAAGTACCAGTAGGGTCACCCATGCCGGAAAGGTCAAAGGGTAGAGTCCAGACTAAGAGAGCTACCCTGGTCCTCCAGGTTTGGGGTTCGGCATGAGGCTAACAACCTGATCCTGTAAAAAGAATTTTGTTCAGAAAACTAACAACCAGCCTCGGGTCATCATGCGTGGGTCCATTCCCATGGCAGCACGCATTGGTTGTGGAGATTGGTTGTAGAGGAGGCCAAGGCTCACCCAGGGCTGTAGCACCAAGTGGTAGGTAGCTAGGTAGCTAGGTAGGTAAGTAGGTGGTATCACTCCAACCTGAGAAGTTCCTACGGCAGCTATGTTAATATTAAGGAAAAGAAAAAAAAGTTGTCCCTATGCTTAATTAATTAAGCACTACGCCATGAAGGTGAGGAGCCGGGACAGCGCAGTGGGTGCGGCGACTGGCTACGGGCTGGACGACAGAGGGTTCGGAGTTGGAGTCCCGGTAGGCTCAAGAATTTTCTCTTCTTCACGTCATCCAGATTGGCTCTAGGGCCCACCCAGCCTCCTATACAATGGTTAGCCTGTGGATCTTTCTCCGGGGGTAAAGCGGCCGGGGCGTGGAGCTGATCACTCACCCCCTACTAGTGCCGAGGTCAAGAAAATGTGGATCTATTCATCCACTCCTCCATACGCTTTCATGACGTAGTGCTTAATTAGTCAAACACACGAAAAACTTTACCCTTTTTATCTACGCCATGAAGATGTATAGAGGAGTGAAAGTGTAGCTCTACCATTCTTGACCTAGCCACTAGATGGAGGTAAGAGGTCAGCCTCGGCCACTTTTGTCTCCACCGATACAGACCCCGGGATCATACTGCATACTAGGTTGGATGGCTCCCGGGAGCCCTGCTGGACGGTGTGGAGTAGAGAAAATTTCTTGTCACTGCGGGAATGGAACCCGGCCGTCCAGCTCGTAGCCCGTCTCTATATGGACTTAACTATCCCGGCTACTGTTACGTTGATATTACTGGTGGGAAACAATTATGAAGAGGCAAAATGGGGTATATTACAGTGATGAAACGTTCATACCAAGTTTCATTTGTTTATATGAAATTGTACAAATCGTGATACAAAAGTTTCAAAGTAAAAAAAAACCCCAAGGAGGATTTTGGGGGGGGGGGAATTAAAGAACCTTTTCTATCCATGTGTGTAATTTCCATTCCTATACTCTCACTTAGATCCGATCTATTATCTGTGACTCTCGTGACTTCGTCTGCAGGTCTTCAGAGCCTGGACTCGCTCATCCTAGGCCACAACCAGCTGATGGAGGTTCCTGCGAGAGCGTTCTCACACCTCAACCTTCTCAATTCCCTAGAACTAGATGGAAACCAAATCACCCACATTCACTCTGAAGCATTTCGTGGTCTTGAAGGTCTGTATAATGAAGTTTATTACTAATCGTCCAGTACTGGCTGATCGGTTGGTTCTACTGCTCGGAAAAGCGCTGACTGGCAGTGCCTCTTGGCACTTTGTACACCGTGGAATAGAAACCGGCCTCACCGTACTAAGAAGCCAGTATCTCTTGAGCAGCGGCTCAGCATGCAAAATTCTTTTTTTTTTCTTTAGTATCTTGAGGTAGGGTGAGACTGAGTCCACTTGGTACATGGGCCATTATTTGGCCTATTGTATCGGCCCTGGATGGTAGATGATGGTGATTGTGGAGCAAATTGGTGGAATGAAGATTGGCAGGGGAAACCGAAGTACTCGGAGAAAACCTGCCCCAGTGCCACTTTGTTCACCACAAATCCCATATGACCTGACCTGGGCTGGAACCCGGGCCGCCGTGGTGGGAAGTCGGCGACTAATCGCCTAAGCTATGGTACGGGTAGCTTTAACCTGAGGGTCACATTACGTTTAGATTGCATTTGTTTTTGTATTTACGGCATTTACTAGCTGTACGTGACTCGACATAGTAAGGAAACAATGCGAAATGCAAAGTTCTTGCAGGTTCTTGAACAATAAGCAACACAGTGTAAGACATTACTTATCTGAGGAGTTTCTCTACGATTTAATTTCATGTACAGTAAATCAGATGAACAAACGTTACTTAACAAAAGTAGGCACAAACTAGGTTTCACTAAAAAAATAACTCATTTTCTAAAAGTATTTATGTATTTCGATTCATAGTTTATTAATTTGTTCTGGTTTATTTTCGTAGGCATATATATGAATGTTTTGATGTCTCTTTCCTCAGAAGAACGCATGAAGCCGGTAGCAAGCAGAGCTATGTTTGCAACCTGCTCCTTGCTTATTTATTACTTGTCATAATCCTCGACCCTGAAGATGAAGACGATATTTTCCTCCGAAAAATCAGCTGACTTTCAACGAGCTGCGTGTTATATCCCAGACGACAGAACTCTTCATAAGCACTGCTGTGAGAACCTCAGACCCTACACAGCGCTATATCCCAGAAGACAGAACTCTTCACAAACACCGCTGTGAGAACCTCAGATCCTACACAGCGCTATATCCTAGAAGACAGAACTCTTCACAACCATCGCTGTGAGAACCTCAGATCCTACACGACGCTATATCCCAGAAGACAGAATTCTTCGTAACCACCGCTGTGAGAACCTCAGATCCTACACAGCGCTATATCCCAGAAGACAGAACTCTTCATAACCATCGCTGTGAGAACCTCAGATCCTACACGGCGCTATATCCCAGAAGACAGAACTCTTCATACCCACCGCTGTGAGAACCTCAGATCCTACACAGCGCTATATACCAGAAGACAGAACTCTTCATAACCACCGCTGTGAGAACCTCAGATTCTACACAGCGCTAAATCCCAGAAGATAGAACTCTTCATAACCACCGCTGTGAGAACCTCAGATCCTACATAAGCAACACTGGAGTTTGGGAATAAAGTGTTGGGTAGAATATCTGGACCCAAGAGAGAGAGTAAGTAACAGGATGATGGAGAAGACTGCATAAAGAGGACAGTCTAACCTCTACTCTTCATCACACGTTGTTATGGTAATAAAATGAAAGAGTATAAGATGAGTGACGAAAGGAAGAGATGAGAAATACACAGAAAATTGTAAGGAGAAGACATGAGAAGAAACTGTTGGAAGACCTAGGCGTAAGATGAGAGGTCATAAAACTGATCTTAAAGAAACAGGTTGTGAGGGTGTTGAAGGAATTTAGATATAGTCCTAAATCGGGATAGTGCGAATTCGGTAGAGGAACTTCAGAATCTATAAACGACGGAGAATTTGACTGTATCAGCTTCTCAGGAAGTACTCTGTTCCATAAAGATAGTTCATATCCAACGCAATTCATAAAATTGGAAAACTGGAATAGGCCGATTTGACTACTGGATACAGAAGTAAAACGAATAATTATAATTGAATTTGTGACTTTTTTTTACGCTTTGGCCTACTAAAAACTGACGCTTTATTGCGTCATTCAAGTCCAGTAATAATAGAAAATCGAACTGTATAGAAACTATAATCATCAAAGCTTAATTTCTTCACAGATGACTTCTAAGAATACATATTGTAGGGGCTGATATACAATATGTGTTTGAATTAGCAACTGCAACTTCCATCTTACCTATTTCAAGTCATATTTTCCTTCAAAAATTAATAAAATTTGAACAAATACAATCTGTCTTTCCAAGGAGACTGCCATGGTTATATTAAGAACAGACCTGATAGAAATGTAGAATTCTCCTCTGCTGATATGGAACTGAATCTTGTCGTTCCTTTTTCCTCAGAGAACCTTCAGTATCTGAGGTTGGGTGATAATAATATTCACTGTGTACCCAGCGACGCACTAAGACGTCTTCACCGATTGCGTCATCTAGATCTCCGATCCAATAACATCAGCGTTGTTCCTGAGGACGCATTCACTGGCTTTGGAGATACAATCACTTTCCTTAACCTGCAGAAAAATGAGTAAGTATGCATATTCTGGTTTCGCATGGTCACGATTACGAGAATCCTGTCCCACAGTGTTTAGTTATGTATCAAGTCGTCCCTTTGCGCAAGTAACCACCACAAAGGCGTAAGAGGCACTTAGCTTCAGCATTATGGTGCAGCATTACAGGAGGCTGACGGGGTGACAGAGGCAGCTTGGATGTTATGTTCCCGCCCGGGAATCGAAGTCCTATCGTCCAATCAGTAGGCAGTCACCCTATAATCACGGCTCATAGGGTTTTATTTTATTCTTAGCTCTGCAATGTGCACCTTTTAACAGAGCTCCCTTCCACACCAGTAAGAAAAAAGCAACCCCAAATGGCGTACACGCATTTGCCAAGAATGTTCTTTACGATCTAAAAGTTTGTGACGATGGGGCATAAGTCCGTGACTTCAGCCCGCAAGCGAACCATATTGACCGAGCGACCGCCGCTTGTCGGCGAAGTTTAGTGCCAACTTTTGCGGATAGAGGGTGCCGCGAGGTCAGCGCAACGAATCCCCAGGCCGTCAATTTCGGTTTTCCAGACTGAAGCCGCTACTTTTCCATTCAAGTAGCTCCTCAATTATCATCACGAGGCTGAGTGGATCCCGTTCCAGACCCACTACTTCTCAGAAAAAATCTGGTAGCTCCGGAAATCGAACCTGGACCTCTCGATCTCTAGCCAGAACGTGAGGATGGGGCATTAGTCCAAATATTATGTTTCTGGCATTATTCATCGTTCAGTTTTCATTTCAAAACAACGTTGGGCCCAATTGATAGAGCTAGTCCCCATCTCCGGACACCTGCACCAACAACAAAATAGGGTATACAGACCAAGAACAGTACAAACCATCTGCGAGAGCTAAGACAAAACATTAAAATATTTAAAAATATACGCTTATGAGGCTTTGTATCAAAGGACTATCAAGATATAACGTTTATTACAGTACACTTAAAATACTGTTTCGCTTTTGTGCGTATTTAAAACAAACAACTTCCAATAAGCACAGTCCTCATTAAGAAGCTGACAGTATTTCAGCGTTTCTGTCGAAGCCAAAATTTCTTTACGTGTTCAACGAACACTGCTCAGAGAAAGGTGAGTCCAAGGCACAGCACATTTAAGATTAATTTTAATGTTATCTTTCGATCTACACCTAGGTCTCCCAAACTGGTTCTTCCATCGAGGACTTTTGATTAAAATCGTGAAGTGACATTCACCTATCAATCGCGCGCTATCCGCTCCGCCCATTTCATATCCCCTAGTCTGATCGCCGTAACACCATTTAGTGACAAACGTAAACAGAACTGTTTCGCTACTAGAAAAGTCTTATGAAATATTTCATGTGGGTAAATAGTCTCTAGATACAGTACGGGTGCATAAAATCATAGTGGGACTACGAAATTAGGTATTAACATTTAATATAAAGCAAATTTCACAGCATGATCAAAGGCTTCTTTGTACGCTCCAACAGAACACATAATGAAGATGCCGAAGACAAATCTAGCATTAAGCGTTTTCTTTCATTTATATTCTCAAGAAACAAAGAGATCAAAGGCCATTCTTAATATTTTAGTAGAATCTGGCCTCCCTCGTCACTCTGAAATGTGATTTACTCATAGAGCGCAAACGTCACAGGGACAGTAATTGAGTTGGTTTCCACAAGCAAGTTTGAGGCGGCCAAAGCAAATTACGAACGACTTTCGAAACTATACTTAGCTGTTTCATTAACAACTGGCTGAGCATGATAGGTAGTTAAATGCAAACCACTGTGTCAATGAAACGCAGACGAGGGAAATATGTTAACGTCACTAACACCGGGGCACTGTTTCAAACAGTCCCATGTTTACACAGGCGTGTACTCCAACACGCGAGACTTCGGACTGTAAGCACCACGTCACCGCACATGTGTGGTTAGTTCCGCGGTGAACTCGTCCGTCCGTCCGTCCGCCCATCCATCCATCCATTCCTGTAGCTCTCGCTTGGAGTATAGGGCATCCGTGAAAAGCTTTGTTTCATTTCAGTTTCTCAATCTTAAGACAGTCGGTAAGACTCCTTGGACGGGGGATGAGCCCTACGCAAAGCCGCTACCTACACAGAACAACACAAAAACAGAATAAACATACACAGACATCCATGACTCGAGTGGGATTCGAACCCACGATCTTAGTGTTCGAGCAATCGAAGACAGTTCGTGCCTTAGACCACGCAGCCACTGGGCGAACTGTGACGCTACAACCGAGTAAATCAGTGTACAGATCTCTTATGTATAGTTCAAACATGCGTAACTGTGTTGTGTGACATCTCCGTCGGTTGGTCGAACCCAGACATAAACGTAAGGTATTCCTGTTTCACAGCTATCTGGTCAGTACGAATTAATATTTGTGTTAACTATTAAATTCACCTACTCAATATGGGCAGATTAGATATGGACTTAGCACTAACTCTATATACCAGAGTCCAACTTTTTAAGCTCATACTCGCTCAACAGACCAAGAAATCCCTCAATTTTATGCCATTATAGTGTTCACAAGCGCCTGATAATGGAACGCATCCTGAATCAGGTGATTCACCCTCAATCCTACTCACGCCTACATCTCCCAAGTGATCGTGTCTTTATATGTTTTCTGACAAAAAATTTGTATACATTCCTAATCTCTGCTATGCGGTCTACATGTACGCTTCATATTACACCATCGAGGCACTCCAAAGAGTTCAGAGAAGCAATTCGTATACAGGCAAAATGCTAACATTCACTCTTTAGCACATTAGTTCAACTGACTCTCTGGGACGGATGGTTTGTTCCGATATTGTGCCGTATCAACTAATGACACCATTTAAAGTAGAATTAGATGATAGATCGATTACGTACAATGACAGTTCTGACGTTATCAACCCCGTCATTGCTTGCGATGAAGGGCAAATCACAGCCAAAATGGCCAGCGAGACTATTGTGTCGAACATTCGCGCAACTTTACGAAGGTTTCCCTAACAAAACAATGAGCTTGTTATACGACATGTCTGTCCCGACTGCGCTGGAAACAGAGCATAAATCACGCGGTCCTTCTTTCTCGAAGATCAGTAATGTTTCTTTACACCCAATTTTAAAGCCCCGCATTACAATGACAATATAAAAGTCAAGTAGATACAAATAAGGGAAGGTTCATATTGTCCACTCTGCCACTTTCTCAGTTCTATTAGCATTTGTTTTAGGTAAAATGGAAATGAGAATTTCCTTTCTTTCCTCGTGCATGGATATCCCTGCAGCTGGCGAAACATAACGCGGCCCTTGGGATTCACGAAAGCACAGGACATTAAGTATAACAAACTGCTGAAACTTTTGTGTTGTCGAGCCTTTGTGGAAGAATGTTTCTTTCTACTTGGAACACGCCAGGAGACAGAGGGAAGAGAATATTCTATATACGATCTTAACATTGCCTTAGCAAACAGACATAAACTCTAGTTTAAAAACTGACATATTATTGCATCTTCTTACGTAGGACGAGAATGAAGTTCAAAACTTTGTACAGTATGAGAAGAAACATATTCTAAAATGGATATACTTTGCGAATATCCTTTTCATTTTTGTCGGAAGGGATGGAACAGTTTCGAGAGATTCCATCTGTGAAATTTCTCATATTTTACCACAACATGTTGGTAGCTATAAAAATAAAATCCGATTTTTCGGTGGAGGAAAACGCTTCTTTCTCCATTCACTCTCTCTCTCTCTCACATACACACATTCATTCATTCATCAGTAATCTGTCAAAACGACAGGTCCACAGTCTCTTCCAAAACAGTTCCTCCACTTGATGCGATCTAGAGTTTTCTCCTTCAAATTAAAATATCCTCTTCTGCCCCCAAGGTCATCCAGCATCTTCTTACGTCTTCTTCCTCGTCTTCTGGTCACTTCTATCCGCCCCTCTATCTTTCCTTCAATAACTTCTTTTAGAAGGTAGTTACCGCGTAAGATATGACCAATCCAATTAGCCTTCCGTTTTCTTATTTCGTGTAGGATATTCCTCTGCTCACTGACTCTAAATAACAACACACACACATATTGCATTTATTACTGTATCGATGAAAATGCATTCCATGGCTTCGGTGATACTGTTTTCAAAGATTTTTCTTTTAAACTGTTAAAATTCTTTCCAATAATAAACATATAACGACAGAAATAAGAGCGAATGCATCAGTTAACTGATATTCGGTATGATTACAAAAGGAAAGGTAGTTCCTCCAAATTTACTATTTGCAATGAGGCCCATCCAACCTCATCTCGTTCGCCAGCACATAGTTTCAGCAATACATAGACTGTCAAACAGCAGTATAATTACCGTAGCAAATAACAATACAAACAATAGCTTGCAGGACAATTACCGGAACAATACACGCCACAACTGTCTCCCTCACAATTCTAACGCCTTTCCCACTACATATGACATTCTAATGGCTCAGAGAGTTCGCTGCTGCGATCAGGGAGTTAACTGGCCCTAATTACCGCAGCTGTACACTCAACAGCTCCAGTAAACTACATCAATTACCTTCCTCAGAATATTATAATGTTGTCGCCTGAGGGTATATGATCCGTGCTGCAACGAACGTATATCCTTTAGGAAAAAAGGAACCTTGCCCTGTGACGTTCGCCACATCACAACTATGCAACTGCATATCCACTAGCTTGAACATGCTCGTCTCTTTTCGGCAAGGTGTTTCTTACTAACTTGACATTACATGTCGCCGAGCCGCAAGACAGCTTTCAACGTCTCGCTCATTTAGCTGACATTCAGTTAACTCTGTGTCACTTGTAACAACTGTCAATACAAGGCAGACTATTTCTCTATAGATTACATAACTTTGGAAGGTTTTGGGGAATTACCCTTACCACAGAAACGCCGAAAGCAGGTCCCATTTACAATTATACTGTCCCAGAGGTTAGAAACCTTGGGGTTTCATCCCAGGTCATTTCATGTGAGATTCGTGGTGCTGAAGAAAGTTTCT